TTTGTATGTATGTTTCCTCGCGATGTTTTCCTTCGCCGTTTCTCAGTGGTGTCAAATAATCTTAGTATTACTCGGAAAAAGTCACATTGGTAATTGCCGTTAAAAGGTTTCGAACCCGCACCCCCGTCTCATGTATGTGGCATGAGAAGCGGGTGTCTTAACCTCCGGGCCACCACGACACGCCTGCTTATATGTATATGAATATGTATTTTTTTTTAAATTCGTTGCCCCACTCTGGAATTTTCTCCTGTGTCGTGGGTGCGTTTACAATCAATATGTCATTTAGTCATCAAAATGTTACGTTACCATCCCCTCTACGTAAACAACTTACCTTGGTATTAACAATGAGGTCCTCAATATTCCCATAGGTGTTCTTCTTCATGCCACTGGCTCTGGTGGCCACCCACCCGCCGAGGGTGGAGAACTCGTACGAGTCCGGCTCGTGACCGACTGTGAAGCCGCGGGCGCGCATCTCGCGTTCCAAGTCCTGGCCTACTATACCCGCCTGGAAAGTGAAAAAAAAATACGTAAACAAACTTATTTATCATTATATAGTATATACCTAGAAATACTGAATAGGTTTATAACATAACATAACATCACGCCTTTTATCCCCGAAGGGGTAGGCAGAGGTGCACATTATGCCACTGTACAATATACATATAACACCCATTTTTCACTATTTGTGTTATGAGTCCCATGTAATGGGGGTGAGCCTTTGCCATATACCGGGCACAATTGCAGACTCCGTTCTACTACTGAGAATTTTTTAAAAACCCAATAATACTTTGCCCGACCCGGGAATCGAACCCGAGACCCCTTGCCTGGCTGTCGCACTTGTGACCACTCGACCAACGAGGTTTATGAGTAGACTAAGATCGTTAGAAACATGGACGGAAAAGTAAGGATCTTGATCTCCGTGTCAAATGCCAATTTAATCGGTGCTTCTAATAACACCCTGTACCATGTAGGTGTAAGTCCGAATTAAGTAACGAATTTAAGAATTACGTAACCCGATAATAAACAATTTTATTGAAATTCTTAGTAACACTCTATTCTAAACAATGAGTACATATGTACTCACTGTGCGTATTTCAGCTAATAAAAAAACTGAACCATCAGTACAAAATAAAAAGTTATAGGTTATTATGAGGCTACTAATGAAACACCTACTTTAATGGTTTCGGAGCAAAGGTGCTAATGATAAACGTTGTCAAGGATATTATATTTATCAAGAATATATTTTTCTTTCAACGCCTTGCTAATTTTTAGGTATGTGGTGTTAAATAGGTATCTGTTTTGTACCTACTTGATATTCACACGTGTCGGTATCAAAAGTCAAAGTCAAAGTCAAAATTATTTATTTCAATTAGACCAGGAAGTCGCTATTGAACATCAAACAAAAATAAAATGCATGGTGTCCGTTTGTAAGTCTTCTAGTTCTAGTAAAGCTAAATGCCTATGGAAAATAACGAGGAAGAAACTCCATAAGAAAGTGAATTATTATTAAGCCACTGCTACTCTGTTACATGTGTATGTGGAGCTGTAGAGTCTTTTTTTTTAAGGGGGGAAAATCATCGAATGACTGCTCCCGCCCGGGTGAGGCGGGAGGGAGTGTCAGACTCTTACTGACTAAAAACCACCCCGTTCCTTCTCTTACACGTCGAGCCGGAGTCCCGGTTACCCGTTAGGTTCTCCGCGACAGCTGTAGAGTCTATAGAGAACTACATACCTCTATAGTTCTCTAATCAGTTTTTGTTTTTACGATACCCGCCCGCAAGGAGAGGTGATGACAAAATAAAATGTTTGTCGACACCACAGCCCACGTTTATTAGGTCGTTACGTAAATTTTTTGTACCTTTAAAATAAATAGTAATCCTATTACCTGTACTCTAGCCAGCAGTTGATCCTTATCCAGCCACAAGATGGAGTTAAGGTCGCTGGTATCCAGTACCACAATGGGCCTGGTCTCCTTGGCGGGGCAGGTGACGGCGCCCGACACCGAGGTGCCACCTCCGAACGGAATGATCACGAAATTGTGCCGGGACGCACTTTGCACTATTTGCTCCACCTGGAAAGTAGTATAAAAATGTTTATATGCGCAAAAGTAGACAGTACTTTATAAACTCACGCCTTTGTTTCATGAGGGTAAGTAGAAGCTAACCGCGACCTACTACGATCTTTGGATTCTTCATTACCTTCATGAATGACAAATGCATGAATTTGCAATGTGTCACCATTCACTCGCTTTTTAAAAACTCTTTCGTCCATCTACGATATTATACATAATGTTATCAAAAATTGGAACGAAATAGACAGTTGAAGGACTTTGTAACTCTGTACAAGGTAGGTACTATAGGTACGTAGCCGAAGGCAGTCGAAACATATTAATTCGCATTATCACACTAATCATTAAGTATAATATTGTGACGGCTACGTAAATTCGGTAGTTAGGTACCTACTTAGCACATTGCAGGCAGTCGCGAAGGGCAAGGTATTTGTTATAGACGTTATAGTTCCATCAGTGTGACCTTAGCAAACTTAAATAAATTTGTGAGAACTTCTAGGTCAAAGTATTAGATACGTGATTTAAATTGGTGACAGTTTAAACAAGCCATAAAACTAAATAATGAAGGTTTTTCACGATTTCCTGACAATTTTGCGAAATTTCCGAACCCGAAGATTTGATTTCCAGCGGACTAAAGGCTCTCGTTTGGCACATACACCCGAAACCCTAAGTAACGAGTGAGTAAGTCTCAGATCCTGGCACACCATTTGAAATAAGTCACAATGAGCTATGATCTATTTTCGGTCTCTGAATGTAAGTAATATACAGAACACCACACAAAAATATTAAACCATGTCCGTCTCATGGTTATGATGTGCGGAAAGCGAAATATGACCTACTTTTAATCTGACCTCATCCGCAGCGTTACGTTAATTAAACGTTCGCGTTTAACCGTGTCCTATCATAAACAAACAGAACTATAAATTACTATAAGTATTATTAATGTTTATCTGTTTCTAACCACGGTCAGTACCTGTACTAAATATAAGATAAAAAATTCACGTAACTAATTGCCGTACGTTTATTAAAGTTTATAAATTGTTTAAATAAATCGCCATGACCTTTTTAGGCGATATGTGGAATTGAGCGGGAATGTATATTTATCACGAATAGGTACCTTGTTCTTGACTTTGATAGAGATGTTCGACAAAATATATGCAAAAATGTCAATGGTGCTGTCGATTGCGAAATTATTTTGCTGTTCCATAGAATCGATTAAAAAAACAAGGCCCTTGGCGACGTTACGCAAAATATTTATGGAGGAACTTGCTTAAATTATTCCATTAGTATGATTAACGCAATGGCGTCCTTCCAGAATTTCAAGGTTTCTTTAAATAAAAACATATTATTATGCTTCTTTTAATATATCTGCAAAAGTTTTCATAATACGGTTGGCGTCGTACGATCTAAACCATTTTGTTTTTGTGAATCATTCATTTAAAAAACAAGAGAAAAAATATATAGTCAGCGTAACATAAACTTGTTTAGCGCTTGACATCCTCACCTGTTCATGACTATCAGGCCAAATTACAGCATCAGGGATCCTTGGGAAGCTGTTCGTTCTTAACTGGGCCATGTCCTTCAGTGTCTGCCCATGAGCTCTGATCAGTCTGTCCATGCCATCGATGCTCACTTCAGCAATCTCCTCCAATTCCAAACGAATAGATTCTGGTAGCCTGCTCTCAGCAAACTTCTTAGGGAGTTCGGGTATCTTCGGCTCTCTTGATGGGTCTATGCCGAACTTGTCTATAGCCCATTGTGCTAGATGTGGTAGAGTGTGCCCTCCAATTGAGTATCTGTAATAGAAAGATGTTCAATGTAAATAAATGTAAAGTATAAGGGTCCAGGGTATTGTCCGTTGCCTGTATTGGAGCAAGCTAAAGGTATTTTCTTTGCGAAAATGATCAAGATATCAATAACATTTTTCGTGTAACTAACGGTTATTCCAGGTATGGAGACCATAGGTTACCTGTATAGCCACGCATATCATACTTTATGATGTAACTTGCGAACAAAGTACATATAAGTATAACTATGAACCCATTACCTAATGTAAAGACTATAAATGACGTCAAAGTTCACACGAGAGGATAAAATTTACATTTCACACATTTGATCAAATGTTTGTGCTTGGTGTTGATCAATTTTCAGGATACAAAGATACTGATGTCATATCTGTTGTATGTCACATGTAGTGTGAAGGTTACTAGGCCTAGGTACTATGTATAAATAAGTACGTATATGTTTAGCGTTCCATAAGTAAGTAAGTAAAGGATGAAAATAGGTATATGATTCCGGATTCCTTTCGGAAGAACTATGAAGGACATTTGTTGCCTGATTGACTTGATTAAATAGCGTCACTAGGGGACCTAATCGATATGATATATAATGGACCTATATTGATAAGAAAAACTCTGTGAATGATGAAGAACTCCATGATGAGGCAAGCCGGTGCATTCACAGATAACTTGTCTGTTTCGCCATTTTTCCAACTGATGTTTGTCAAATGTTCAAAAGACGACTCGAGATTCAAAAGTGTAATTACTGCGACTATATTGACTATTCATTTTACCGCAGTAATGAAAAAAAAAATTTACTTTACAGTTTTCGTGCACGAACCGACATTTTTTTTAGTATTACCCTTATCTACACACGCATACTGGTTATAATTTAGAACTTTTAATACTTAACAACAACTTTATAGCCCAACGGTTAACAACGACTTTTTCAGTCTTCTATTCTATTTGAAGTCCATTACTTTCCACTAAGACAGCTGTCACTTTCCCTGAGAAACACATCAGGTGACCCATTTTCATACTAAACAACTTTAATAGTAGAATGTGTAGAATTGATAGATATAGTAAATTATTATTCTTAAAAAATAAATCGAATGGAAGTAATTCTAGTTCTATATTTAGAAATAGATAATTAATTTTTGCTATTAGTCGCCTAATCCCCAATCTTCACAAAACTGGTAACGTGTTTGTAACTTCTCTATCCAAGGGTGACAAAGACTGGTTACCATTAAGAGATCCGACTGTTCATGTAATAAAAAATCTATTCATAAAGATATGATAATGATTAGTTGCGAATTGCAATTAATCGTAACAGATTAACTAAGATTGAGTAAGGCAGAGCAAATATTGTCAGACTGGAGATCAAACAGCATTGTGTGTGTGTTTGTAGTCGTCAGTTGTGAATGACAAACAAGCAAACAAGGGAATATTTGTCGACGTATTAAGTATTAGCTAGGCAAAGGTCTTTCGTAACTATCAAGGGTTGATACTGTAGTCAGATAGTACGATAGAATAGGGAAAGAAAACACTATTATGTTAGAATTGTATTTTTTTATATGTCTATTAATTAAAGGAACACTGTTAGCATAGGGTTCGTTCTTATACCGGTACTTTAATAGAAAAATCCTTCAGTATATCATCAGAAAGTCTCCAATGGAAGGTTGGACAAAATGAAAACTACCTTCTTGTTGAATCTTTTGTTTTTCTGTCCTATTTTTCCGGGAGAGATGGCCACAAGGATAACTAAAAGAAGTCGTGACAAGTCAATAATTTTGAGGTACCATTATAATAAAATTGTTCGTATACTTTGCAACCGGTTTGCAACAAATATCACCATTATTTTAAGAAACTGACACCACAATTGAGTACAACAATGGACACAAACTAAGAATTTCGTTTTTTACTTTTCCTTTTTTTGACAATTCTTTTGCTGTAGGTACTATTTTTGCCGACCACATTCCGCAGCGAATTAAACGCTAAGAAGTGACATCTCATGAACGAATCCTTAAAATATTTCGATTCTCCTTTATGGCCATTTACCCCGGACTTACCCTATTAACTGATTTTATTAAGATTCATTCTCAGCGCCAATGACTTAAGACGTCGGTCGAATTTTCCAGCATAGGTAACAAAGATTTCAAACGTCTCCGAAGTTACGGCACTCGCAGTAGGTAAAGCCATAAAGCATTTATTTTTGGCTGAGTATTTTCTAATGTACAATGTGAATATTGACGTGTACATTAGTAAACGGTGTTAAGGCTTAGAGGGTCGTCTAATATTTATGGCTGCCATTAGTACCTTCACGACCAATGTTCTTCGAAGGCAAGTAGCTAAGATTATACTTTAACATTTTTTTCTTTGAAGTCTTATCTAAGTCTCTTTGAACTTTCTAGAGTCTTACGCCAAGGATACACAAGCAAGCAAAAACTTAAGCAACATCGCGCGGCACGGGTCCACAGCGACGTTGATGTTGCCAGAAATGTCGACCAAAGTCTGGCAACATCGCGCTACTTCACCCAACGTCGCTGGCGACACGTGTCGCAGAACTTTTGTCCCCTAGTGTGTACTTGGCTTTATGCTCGTGTTCAACAACTTCTCTTAAATTTTTAAGAAGTCCTAAGCTAAGATAGGTGATATTTAACGGCATTTTCACTAACCTATAAACGACACATTACAGTACAAGTCAGGGGTTAATTTAGGTGCTCACGCTAAGTAACTTAGGAGTATTTGATGAAACAGCCATTAAAGATTTGTGAACAATCTAGATTCGAGATTGTACCTATGAATTTTTTATTTTGCCATCAACGCCCGTTTACCTCTAGTGGTAAACTCATTATGTCACATTAATCAGTTTTACTGGTTTTTGTAACTACATCATCATTAAGGCGAATATTTTTACGCTCAGACATAAAACTGCAAAATGACAATTATGGTTCACACTCTTGGTAAATAATGAGTTGCATAGTTCAATATTTCTCGAGATTATAATTCATTTGGTGTCTAAAAGACGTTAGCTGTAAATATCATTGTTAGACTAAGTTTTTATTGTTCCATGTGGGATAAATGCGCGATACGTACGTACGTCATTCAGGTGTAGCATCGATTCTCGGACCGGTAAAAATGTCAGCGATAGTAGATCAAGGTTGATTAATTTGACTATCAAATTCTAATTCGACCTTCATGATTGCGAACGTTATCTTTATCTTATCACTTTTATTAAAATAATATTATAGTTAATGTATAAATTCCTTGTATAGTTGTTTTATCTACTGTACCTGTACGTTTATCACAAAAGTTTATTGACTCTATTAAACTCCTTTGGCCAATAAGGATTAAAGCTACCAAATAATTTGAGCATATAAGAAGTATTTTGCAATGTGTTAAATGGACAACATAAAGCTATTCATCAAACAGTTTTGCTATGGCCATTGATGACAAAATATCAACTTTTAAAAGAATATATTTCTAACTTCCTAGTACGTCACAAGTAGGTGCATTTAGTATTCTAGTCCTTAAGTTATGTTTGCTATGCACAATAAACAGAGGTTCAGTGCATTCATTGAGTTGCAACTTGTTTTACGATCAATATTTACAGTCACAAGTCGTTCCGACGATTGCTCCGCCGTTTTAACCATTATTTACTTGAATTGAACTTCAATGGTAGACACAAAGTTTTACTGCTGACCAATGATTGCATATTATGTCCTGCAGTTTGTTTACACTATTATTTCTACCACACATCTATTCGCACCATTTTTTCACAAACACTATGGCTATTCTTCAATGTAATGTTAGATGTTACTATTCATCTGTGTTCTGAATTCAGGATAAAAGATATAACATATCATCACGTCTTTTTACCCCCGAAGCGGTAGGCAGAGGTGCACTTTACGGCATTTAATGCCACTGTCCAACACCTACTTTTCATTATCTATGTTATGAGTCCCGTGTAATAGTGGGTGAGCCGATTGCCATATACCAGGCACAATTCCAGACTCCGTGCTGCTAATGAGATTTATTTTATAACATCAGGTGATCCGTCTGCTCTTTTGCCTCCTATACTATAAAAAACCCTAGTAATACTTTGTTCGACTCGGGAATCGACCTCGAGATCCAGCAGACGCACTTGCGACGCACTCTGTCAACGAGGCAGAATAAAACGCCATAGTAAAATATTAAAGGTACTGTTATGGTATATTTTCAAAGTTTAGTTTTTGGATCACTGGAGAATTCTGTTGGTCAAATTTGGTTATAAATAATTTAAGAATTACTGTTGGTCCGCTTATATTGTCATCTTATCGTTACGCCTCAGTGATACCTAAACAACAACTACATCAGGTGACTCGGTTTACCAGCCAAATAAAACCATGGTAGTTACTGGAAATTGTAGGATACAAGAAGCGAAAACGGACTATGGTCAGTGTTCAGTTCTAGAACTATGGACTTGAGGATTGTATTTGGATCAATCCCGAATCTTTGGATTAACGTCGATTATTGACATTACTTGTATAAAGTTTCTGTTAAAAACCGGGACCGATTAGATCAATTTCGGACGTCAGCTGACGATATTGACGACCTATAAAGCATTCAGCTTTAAATTTTGACAGCTAATCAAGTAACCTAGTTTAACAATACTTATTGAGTGCGGTATAAGATGTCGAGTCAAATGGCACGTGCTGTGGCGAATTAACGGGAAGTGGCAATTTGCTGGCCGCCCACCAGTGATCCTGGTTTGTGGTCAACTAGTCATACCTCGTTGACACCACTTTCTTTGTGACTATGACCCTGCGTGGACACTGAATAGTCTATTTGGGACATAATGACACATATGTACATGATTGTACATGTACATAGTGTCCATACTTCTGAAGGTCCCCCATTATGACAAATCATGATATTTGCCGTGTTCATTTATTTGACTTATAAGTTTATTTAGGTAAATGAACATAGTGAACACAGTATTTAGTATGTAATTACTTAATGATGTAGTGCATTTAAAAGTGCTTAAATTGTTTTGTTACTGAATTCGTACAATACAGTTCGTGACATTGGACAAAAAATAGACTAATGCCACTGCATTATTGTTGTGTACCTACATATGTAACAATTACAGAATTACTGTTAGCTAATAAGAATAATGAAATTCAAATTATCCTTAGTTTGACTTCTCACAGTGATTAAAAAAGAATACCTTCTCATGCAGAGTTGGCCCATAGGCCAAATATCTAATGGACTAGTCACAGTTTGGTGATGGAACTTAGATCTGAAGAATACGTTCCATAGATATAATAAAACTCTTCTGTGATGCGTTCATTGCGAGCGGCTTCATAACAAATGACCACACCCAAAAAAGTTACAAAACGTGTATTCATCATAATTATCCTTCCTGTTGTCGATGTTTTTCAAAAATATATACCTGTGGCGTCCCAATAACAGAGATATGTATGGGACCCACTTTTAGTATAATAAGGCGAGAATATTGATGTCGTTTATGGTCGCCATTGACCGTCTATGGTTTGATCATTAACTTGGTGACACTTTATGCCGTTACACTTTTTGACAGAGACGAAGTCGAATATAAGTTTTGCCAATTTAACACGAGTTTTATTTATAAGCTTGCCTCGAAATTACTCGGCGCACAACGCCAAATACCTAAAATGTTCTAAGAAGCTATAAAAAAATATTACTTAAACGATGTATGTTTATATTTGAGTAAAACATTATCATTTAATCGCGAAATGTATTAAGTTTATTACGTATTTCTCGAGTACATAATAAGAATTAACAATATTATGTTTAGGGGACAGCGTTAGGTACGTATGAGTGTCTAAAAATGTCAAAATGCACGAAGGCCTACGCAAATCTGCGCACAAAGTTTTAGATATAACATAACATCACGTTTTTATCCCCGACACTATCCCAGTTTGTTTGTTCCAGTAAAAAAAAACTGTGCAACAATTATCAATTAGCGATAATATATGCTTAATTACAACAAATCATTACTTTTCAGTTCCTTATGAGATTAAAATTGTTATTATAAGGTTCTGGGTACATAAAATATCTTCTCAAGATGCACAATATGTCGTCTCTTTCCAGACGTCATCCTACCACAATCCAAAACTCCTTTCTCTTTGATATGTTAATAATTTTATAAATAAACTTTTTGCAATTCATGTTATAAGCTAGATTTCTTAACAACTAACGCAAATCACAGAGGTCAACACTTTTTAAACTGCAGACGTTTTGCATGTGTGTATGTTTTTTCTATAGCATTTAAATGGTGCATCGAGAATGAAGAACAAGTCAAGGTTTTCTTGCAAAACTATTAATGATTAATAAAAAATCACTGCTTTTATTATTACTTAAAATAATTCAGAGGTCAAACACGAGCCATAACTCGTTAGTTGAAAACTACGCAAACTTTATTATACTATATTTATTCTAAGTGTGGGACAGTCATGCTTCGGCTCGACCGGAGTGATACCACGGCCTCACAGAAAACTGACCGTGAAACAACGCTTGCGTTGTATTTTGTCGTGAGTGGAGTTACCGGAGACCTTTCCCCTCCCAATCTCCCCAATCCTTGAATCCCCAACAATCCTCAAATTCCTAATCACACCTCTGGTATTCCGGGTGTCCATGGGCTTATCTCATAAAAAAGACTTATGACCTATTGTACGTATGTGATAAATGCACTAATCAAATATAATAAAACATTTGTTTGTTCATATACTTACTACTGTTTCGTGTATATTATATTTAAGCTTCTTCATCCTTTTAGTAAAACATTTGCATATATATGTATGTTTACAAGAAATCATAGTCCTTATAAGTTAATCAAAATGTATTAAGAAAAATGGCATTAGAATTTCTTAGAATATATCTGCGATGTCTTTTATGTTTGACAATGTTAATATAAACGATAAAATTAAACTAACCTGTTTCCAGTAAAGGTGGCTGTGTGGCCTTGCAGTTTGAACATGGAGTCCTTGTAGCCCCATCCGTACCATTTCAGCAGGTCTTGTCTGAAAAAGATCAAATAAACATTTATTCAATAACAGCTCAATTACCCACAGATAATTTAGTGAGCTGTATCGCTACGAGCTACGGAGCTGTGCTACGAGCTACCCCAAAAGTTGCTACGCTTTCGTAGCGTATGTCTACGCAGCCTCGTAGCGACCTTTGGGGTGAGTGCCATTTTGTGTTCCTACAACATGACGAAGTTTTGAATACTTTGCAAATTGCAATATAGGACGAAATATTGCTCAGCTTTGTATTCAAAGGTCATTTCTAAAATTTTAAAGATTAATGATATATTATTGTTTGTTTATACTAGTCGCTTAAATGATGAGCTGCATAATTAATACATTCTCTAGTAGTTTGAACTTTCTAATAAAATTATCAAATGATAATTGGGTACTATTCTTAATCAAAAATAAAATATTTCGACTGTTCAATACAATAAGATATTAAAAACTAATCACACTTTCATTAATCGATTTTATGACTAACTAAACTGTTGTATTTTTCAGCTAATTTTTAAGAAATAAGTATGCTGTTTGACGCTAAAAAACGTGACGTCACAATACACAATCTTGTACAAAATTCGTGGAAAATAGTCGTTATTGTTTTTGAATTTGTTTAGTTTGCAAGTACCCAGTGACGACGCTGACGTCAGAGTAGAATGTTAGCAATCCTACTTTCTCTTCCTACACTGCTGTCGTAGGTAAGGGACTACATCTTTAATGAAATTCGACCGCAACAGCGCTTTTAGTCAGACTCTTACTGACTAAAAACCACCCCGTTCCTAGTCCTGCTCTTCGACCCGGATCACCGGTAAACCATTAAGTCGTCCGCGGCATACTTAGTAAATATTAGAACCGAGTTTGATACTAGTGGTCGTCAAAAGGTTACTAACTGTAATTTTAAATGTTAATGCATGTATAATATCATATTATAATATTAATAAAACAATAACATGAACTGTACAAATAATGTAATAATGGTTTGTAATGTGTAATTAATGATCTATGTAATTGATTGAAATAAATGGTAATAATAATAATAATAAGCCCGCAGGGCACCTTGAGGCGAGGTGACGGGCATTAGCGATCCCGCGGGCTACCATCATCCCGAGTGCTCCAGGGAGAAGTCACCGTTCCTTCTTCTCCGGCTTGCCTTAATTGGCTGGCTGGAGTGAACGATGACAAGGAACAGGTCTCCCACCTCTGGCTTGCCTTCATTGGCCGTCCAGAGTGGAGTCGCGAGAGCAGTGATCCTGCTCGGAGGGTAAGAAACTATTCGTAAGTCGCGAGTGGGCCAGGGATGCAGGAGGCTTCGGCTAGAGCAGATGATCTGAGTAGAAAGCGGTGGTAGTTTCTTAACCCTTCAGCCACTCACATTCTCGTTGCCCCTCTGTTGCTATATCTAGCAACCATTCCCGGGGCCCGGTCGGTGAGTTGGCGAGTCTCCGCCTGCCATTTTTACGTGTAATAATTACATTGTTTCGGCAGGTGCCATAGTCATCCATAGTTCCCAATTTCCCAGTCCACAGCAACCCATCCATAGCCCTACCATTTTTTTTCCATTATCCACAATAGTTCTGCACTAACCGGGGTCTGTCCTTGGGTGCATTTCCATAGTGCATACAGGGATAGTCGCTGGTTTGTGTGTCCATTACATTTATATTAAAGTTGTCTAAAGGGCCTCTGCGCAGTTGGCTTCGGCCCCTCGTACGCCTCCCAAATGACCGGGACCCTGTGGTCCCGTGAATGGTAAAGACATACATAATAATAATAATAATAATAAATTAATAGAATTACAATAGGTCAATAGTAAGCGAAGGTGAAAATGTTAGAAAACAATACATTTTGCTATTATAAAGTAATAAAAATGAATTACGAATAATGTGTTACATTATTCAAATTATTATCATTAATATTTATGGATTTTATTACAACCTAGCTGTTGCCCGCGCCTTCGTCCGCGTAGGATATGAATTTTAGAATACAATTTATTTTTGTTTCAATTTAACAACATAAACTAGTCTATATTACTACTTAGTACATCAGCTATTTGCCAATAAAAATCGTGCAAAATCAGTTCAGCCAACCAAGGACAAAAATTGTAAAAAATGCTATTTTGTTATGTGTATAATGTATATTCATATGCATGTAGTAAAAAGCGGTTATAATAATATTACAAACAGACATTACAATTTTATTTATCTGTATAGATGTATATAGATTATTTTGGATAAATATGACAATATTGTGTGAGAATATTGCAGCCTGTTTAAATAACACCTTGTTATTATGCAATTAGCGCGCCGGTGCGCAGAGTGTGTGAATACTTAATAGTTATCACATCTGTTTGCAGTTTTACTGGAACGTGGAGCATAAATCTTAATTTTTGCATAAGGACTAAAATTGCCATTGCCCACAATTTGGTATAAAGTGATCAGCAATGTTATAAAAACATGAGAGTGCTATATGCGTAACCTTATCAAAATTAAATTTACAAAATAACAATAAGAACAAAAAACATAACAGATAGCTTCTCTGCAAATCTCACAATTGCTCAAAAACAATAATTAACCATTATGACACATTAACTGTCAAAAGAACCACGGCATGCTTTTAAAAACTTGGATTTAAAAGAGGAAATTAGTAATAATAAATTATATGAGTACATAGTTACGTCATAATAATATGATAATACACAATTTCTATCCTAATTGAAATGCATCAGTATTGTTAATATTGTAAATGGATTAAATATGCTATTTATTACACATTACATAATTTGAAATGCATAACATAACATTAAATAACATTACTCCTTTTACCCCGAAGGGGTAGGCAGAGGTGCACATTATGTCACTCAACAATTTAACACCCACTTTTCACTATTTATGTTATGAGTCGCATGTAATAGGGGGTGAACCTATTGCCATATACCGGGCATAATTCCAGACACCGTGCTACGACTGAGATTTTTTTTAAAAAACCAGTAGTACTTTGCCCGAGCCGGGAGTCGAACCCGAGACCCCTTGCCCGACCGTCGCACTTTCGTCCACTCGGCCAACGAGGCAGTAATTTGAAATGTTTAGATAATATATTGTATTATGTTTATCAATATTGAATGTACACGTTATTCTGAATGAAATGACCATTATTAACCCGGAGTCTACAAATTCGGTGATATATTAAGTGTAGGAGAGCCATGCTTCGGCACATATGGGCTGGCTCGACCGGAGTGGTACCACGGCCTCACAGAAAACCGACGTGAAGCAACTCTTGCGTTGTGTTTCGTCGTGTGAGTGAGGTTACCCGAGGCCCAATTACTCCCCCCTTCCCCAATCTCCCCAATCCCTGAATCCCCAACGATCCTCAAACTCCTAATCCCCGAATGGCCGGTAACGCACTTGTAACGCCTCTGGTGTTCCAGGTGTCCATGGGCGACGCCGATTGCTTTCCATCAGGTGATCCGTCTGCTCGTTTACCGGCTTATGCCATAAAAAAAATCTGACCTATTTCCGGTCGTTTCGGTTTGCCGTCCCATCGGATTCAGTGTGTGATTGAACGGAGTGCACCTTTGTTTGCGCACACACTTGTGCACCATTATATCTCTTGCTTAATGGGCTTGTCTAGTTAGACCTGCGACTATGATCGAAATCGATCGGGAGATTGATGTAATATTTTTTTAACGTTGCCCCGCACTCTAGGATTTTCTCCTGTGTCGTGGGTGCATTTACAAACATACAATTTCACATACACATGACATCCGAATCCTAAACAACAATTTGTGAATTCTACAAAGAGTTGCCCCGTGCGGGAATATAGCCCGCTTCACGTTGCGCGACAGCCGGTTACCCAGCCAACGCACCAATCGTGCAGTCAACTTGCATTTCATATGTATTTAAAACAGTCTTAATTTAAGGTTTAGTCTGTCATGTTATCTTATAAATTATGATATAATACGACGAACGATAAAATATGTGGGTCGGTTTGTAATCTTATCGTACTTTATCATCGTGTGGTATGTTTTTAAAAACACTATTTAGTTACCTGGCGGCCAATCAAAAATATGGATTAAGGCTGATGCATTGCATAGTCATAGAACTGGAAGATATCGATATATGACTAACCCCCACTGCAATAGTTTTAGTACCTAATGAGTAAAGCGTCTAACAAGGAGTTAAATTTTTGGAAAATTCTCATTATTTAGTGGTACGACCTTATATTTTTCATTTCTTATTGTTCTTATTTCATATGATATTATGTTAAAATTCTATAAATATTTTACGAATTGGAAGAAATATAACGTTGAATAAAATATTGTATTAATTAAAAGATTAACATTACTATTATATTCCTATATATTTCTGTGACATTGCCTATACTACGTGACCATGAACGTATATCTACTTATAATCAGCAGTAGGAGCAAAACATAATACACCGTACAACTTCTAGTTAATACAACTTTATTGATTACTAATTTAATACATAGTAGCGATGAGCATTGACATGTCAAGGAGGGCCATTAGAAATAGTGTACAAAGGCCCTCCTTTAAGCTACTCATATTGATATAAAAACTATGCACACTTTTCTCAATGTTACGTTGCATATTGTGCACTTTTGCTTAAGTGTACAGGAATAAAAGACTTGATATTTTGTAATACACATATGTACAAGCAATCATTATGATTCACACAACACAATGAAATCAACGAAACAAATTATAATTTGTTCCCTATAAAATTAATAGGAACAATTAGGTCCAATTATAGGTCCTTGTGAGACACTCACATATATTTTTAGATGACCTTACAAAATGTAGCAGTGGAGATACTCGACATTCATACACCTTTGCGAACTCCTGCATCTTTTACTGTTAACTTAGTTGTTATTTGTATTCCGAATCCGATATCGTGCTATGCATATAATTAAATTAATTAAATACTGCAGCATATCAAAAGCTTCTAACAGTTCCGTGAATAACTTATAATCTTTTAAATAGTGTTTTCATTAAATGTTTAAGTTTATTTCTGAATACATATGTAGTGTATTTATATTAGGTGCAAATTAAGTGCACAATGTAGTATATTTGAAAACTTAACGTGAATATTGAATTCGTATGATTTTATGAAGGATTTTATAGATCAAATAATATGTTTATTTATAAGTATAAACATCTATATATTTATAAGTATACTATCTAAGTAGATATTAATACTTTATGTACATTTAATTGTAGTTTGTGCGCGAATATCTCGCGATTGATTAAACCGATTTTGATGCGGTTTTTAGAAAAGGTTTAGTCTATTAATAAACCTACCTCAAAAAAGGTAGGATTGAAGTCGGCATATTTAAAGTGCATTATGATATAAAATCATTTATGTAAACGGTAAAGCGACGATATTTACAGGGCCTAGTAATGGTTATTAAGACGAGCTGAATATTAATTTTGAAGGCGTGCCATGATAAATGCTCAATACAACATTTCTGGCTCAGGTAGAGAAGATTAACATATTATTTATATTTATGTGACATAAAACATAACTTGTTTAATAAATCTAACGTAAATAGTTGCGATTCCACTAACAACGGGACTGTGCAGAAAACCTGTTAACCATGGACTATGACGGTTTTAGTTTTAAATTTTGATTGCCAAATTATTCGGCCAAGGCAGCTTGTCATGGAGCCTGTAAATATGTACGTCTTATGATGTAATTATCAATCTTAATCATAAACAACATGGATTGCGATGTTGGTAGGTATATGACTGACACGTATTTTCACTTTGAACATTGTTAAATAATCCTCTTTTACGTGTTCTGCGTTCAATATCTGTCAATACGTTTTTTGCGACTGTAGTCTTCGTGGCAATATCGGCATTTTTATATTTAATTAAATCTACATAATCTTATACACGTGTAGTTATTCCTTAGGAAACAATTCGATTGATAAGGGCCAATCATCTACCAATAAACATGCCGCCAAAGTAATATCTGAATACGGGTCACAAATAACTTTAGACTTCATCGATTTCTGAAAAGTTTATTCGACCCGGGAATTTACCTGAGACCTTGTGCCTACTAATCATATATCGGCAATTGCATTTACGACCCCTCAACAATCCACGTTGATAAGGATATTTTATAGAGATAATTAAGTTGTTTTCAGTTTACAACAATTTGTTTGACATTTTCGATCATATTTTAAATACTCTACGACATTAGTTCCGTTATGTATTTGTTATAAGTAAAATAGTAAAAGAGGTAACCGATTAGTAAATGTGAGTTAATACACAACATTTGCAAATGGAAACTCAAGGATAAGATATTGAACTAACATATTGTGCGATAAGTACCTTTAGGTAGGTAGGTCTACTTTGAATAGTACTATTGTCAATAGGCAATTGTACTTGTATATGTAATAGTTGTCAACTAGTCTCCGTTTGGTTCAACTGCGTGATCTATCGCTATGGTGTGTCCACAGCTGGCGAATGCGTAAACTTTACCCTTCGCTATGATTTTCTCCAGGGTAGTATTTACAAAGATACGGCCATTGTTTACAATTTTACATAGGGAATATAAGATTTGTAGAACACAAAAATGTTATTGTGTAACATTGTTCTGTGCGTAAAAATGTTATACATCACGTAGCATTCGGTTACCCATCAGCTACGGCTACCCCAACAGTGCTGTCTCGTTTATGTGAGATAATAGTTTACATTAATCTGTATTTGTTACATAATTGGATTATAGAACGTAATAATCTACCTATATTAAAACTTAGTACTAGTACTTAACAATAATATATAGTTTAACTTGTAGTTAACGTTAAACTACATTTTAATTAAATACTTTTTTTTTAAATATATTGTCTGTAGAATAAAAAAACACATTTCATTAACATAAATAGTTTTTCTTCTATTAATGTCCCATAATATATCGTACTTTAAATAGATCGAAATTTTATTATCTATGAATTAACTGGAGTTTTTGGGGTTTAATTAAAATTTATTTATCTACTTACGGAGCAAAACAAACTATATCGTTTTAGATTGCATAATTAATTTTATTTTTCGACTGCAAAAGTAAGTTCGGTAAACTAACATCTAAAAAATATCTAATCGGAAAGGTATTCTGTTCCACATCATCACCTAATTTAGTAACCTACACTTTGTAAACGGAAACTAATTCACAGTAAACACTTCCTTATCAAAACATTTATCAATCCAATATTTTAGTTGCTAAATTCTAGCCCTTATCTGTAAGATAAAAATTCGTTGAACTCCTTGTCTGCCGGCAAAGTTCAGCCGAGAGTTTAATTTGCCCGAAACGCCTAAGAAAATAAACAATTGGCGGGAAAATAAATAACATAAACTTTCAGTCTAAAACTATACAATGCAATGCTCTATTTGTATTGCCGGATATTTTTAGCGCGCTTGTTAATTATATCCAGAAAACTGGAACACGTCTGCGGTTGCATGCTCTTCATTAAGGGTGTAGTAACACAAACATGTTCACAAATATAACATTTCTCTTTTGAAAATTAAATAAGTCTAGTAAATAGGTCACTATGCCAGGTAAACCGCAGCCAGTTAAAGCTCATTTCACTGAAGCCACTAAATAAATAATATAGCTTACCGTCGTTTAGGAATCACACTTTTTACTTTGATAATTGTACTGCTTGCAATAGAATCGCTCTTTTTATTTTTATCACCAGAATTTTTCTTTTTCACACTGCCAACTGTCCGTTTACTACTGTTATCATTTTCCACATTTTTCATTTTACTACCGGAGCTGCTCGCAGATGCAGCTGACATTTTTACAATGGGCCAGTATGGATTTGTGCCGGATAGTATTTGGTACGATTTTTTATAAATCGCGCAGCCTGCCGCGCATGTGGTGACATTTCGTGTCGGTAAAACAGCATGACGGTTACGACCTCTGGCGGCCATTTGTAGAACTTGCGAATTAGTCAAGTTCTTAATGTTCTGTGCTTTTGACATTTACATCTGAATAGTTTCCTATATGAAAGTTAGATGGCGCTGTCCACAATTTTTTTTTTTTCGTAGCAAAATGCTACGACGTTATGACCGCCGTCACAGCAAAATTAACTTCGCTTGCTAATGAACTTTTAAAGAAAACAAGTTGTACCGGTTACCTATTGTGGCTTGTGCTATTAAAAGCTTTGATTTAAAAAGACTCTACACTAGAAGGGCAGATACCAGCAGCATTATAACAAAAAGGAGAACTAAGTAATAAAAGTTTCTTAGATAACGAGGCAACAATGGCATCACCACAGGGCCTAACACTGTTACTGGTCCTTTATGTTACTCTTTCACAGAAAAATTAGTAACACATTCAATTGATTCATTGATTTTTCAAACAGTTTAATCAAAACCTAGACAAACACATAGTTAAGTACAGTGCCGGATTAGCCACGTAGCAAGAGTAGCAAATGCTACGGGCCCCGCGGATTGGGGGGCCCCGCGCTCAAATAGGTATTTCGTAATAACACCACTTCAACAGCAAGACTTATGAAGAAAATGAACCTACATGTAATTTAATTTTTTTTCTTAACGAAATTAACGAAAAAAGACAAATAGTCGGTATTTTGTATGTGTAAGAAAAGGAAAGTGACTATTTGTTCGCTTGGTTGGTGCCATTGGCGGGCGAACCGAGCCCGATTTGAATGAATCAAAAATGAATTAATTAAGGAACACTATGGGCCAAGGACGTCTTAATCATTTCACAATGTTGAATATAGAGCATGACTTGCTTAAAGAAGTCGATATTGAAAGTGTAATCGCTAAATTTGCCCATAACAAATCCAGAAAAGTTTATTTGTAACAGTTTTGTTTTATGTAATAATACCCTAAATGACAATGGCCAAATTTGTATGGAGCGTGGTGCCTTTTTATTTTTCGCGGCAGTTTATTGGATGTGTAAAAACTGATGCAGAATAACATTACAAATAAAAAAATATATGGGGTCTTATATCAAAAACACAGTCCAAACCGAGTTAAATCAGTTCAAAGATGTGAAAATAGTGCTATATTATTCCTGTTATTTTGTTGATGGTGACCGTACACAACGCATATTTCTTCATTTACTTGTCAGAAATATTTTGTAATAAATGTTTATAAACGATTTCAAGGAATATAGTAAAGCTTATAGTGGACTTTTTTTTAGGGTTCCGTACCTCAAAAGGAAAAAACGGAACCCTTATAGGATCAGTCAGGATCACTTTGTTGTCCGTCTGTCCGTCCGTCCGTCCGTCTGTCAAGACTCTTTTTCTCAGGAAGGCGTGGAGGTATGAAGCTTATATCAATTTATATCAATTACTCAGGTCTACTGTCCTTTGAAGCTGTGAAAAAATCAAACTTCTAAGCCAACGCAATCAAAAGATACAGCCGTTTATGCCGCAAATTTTCGACACTTGCAAGGGAATCAAAACCTAGGGTGCTTCCCGTGAACTCAGAATCTTGAAATTTGGTACGAAGCAACGTCTTATAGCATAGATAGAGGAAAAATTACGAAAACCATAAATTTTTAGTTACATCACATAATATATATTTTTTTAATAATTTTAAACTTACTACCCATTTCCTCATAAACGCGTAGAGGTATTAAATTGAAATTCATACCAAATACTCAGGTCTATAATACCTTTAAGCTGTAACAAAATCAAACTTCTATGTCAACGCAATCAAAAGAAACAGCAATTTAAGCTGCATATTTTGAAACTCGCAAGTACTCGCAAGGGAATCAAAACCTAAAGGGTACTTCCAGTCGACCTAGAATCTTGAAATTTGGCATGAAGCAACGTTTTATAGCACACATAAAGGAAAAATTCCGAAAACCTTAAATTTTTAGTTACATTACAAAATATGTCGTAATGAACGAACTTTGTAAACCTTGCAGGTTTGTACGGAACCCTCGGTGCGCGAGTCCGACTCGCACTTGTTTTTATAAGGCCACGGAATCATAACAGAGTCTTTAACTGGCCACTACACAAGTAAAAAAAAAAACATTTCGATTGCTTGGCTAGCGTGTTCACTTTATACCTATGTATACGGTTTATGGCCTATGACAGATTTTCATGTAAGTTTCAATACCCTCTCAGTCGAAAACCCGCAAAATACTTTACTGAGCCCTATCACGAAATGCTATGTTTGTCAGCTGCGGCGTCGGTAGCGCATTGAGTAGTGGCAATCGTCGAAACACGAAAAAATTTTTTTTCTGTCTACTTCTCCCGACCTACTCCCGATTAGTTTTATTTAACTACAGTTAATACTCTAATCTAGAGCTAGCATAAGATTCTGTACAAAGATATCGTCATTCAGTCACAAAGTGATGGACTATATTTCGACTGATCACATTATATGAAAAAAAAAAATATACGCTCATCTGACGTATATCACTTTACAAAGTCGACGGTTTCCTTTCTACAAAAGATTATGCGAACCATAAAGTAGATGAGTCTCCTACCAGGAGTCAATGGCAAATCAAAATACACTTTATTAGATGTTCGCACGGCTACCACTTCTCAACCCACCACTGGTAACATAGCTGACGCTCATGAAGCTTCATGACACAACTCCTAGAAGCATCCCACAAGTTATCGACTGAGAGAAAATAGGTAATAAAAATTAGTGCCTGGCAATATGAATATATTGTGGTGTGATATGGTATTCCTGCGCCCGACGTACAGTTGCGTGCAATTTAAAGTTGGGAATTGTGACAAAAATATGAATAACTAGTACTTCCGCGCGGTTTCACACGCTCTGCTCGGCTCCTATTGGTCGTAGCGTAATGTTTTATAGCGTATAGCCATCCTCGATAAATGCACTATCCAACACAAAAAGAATTATTCAAATCAGACTTGTAGTTACGGAGATTAGATTAGTTATTCTTCCGCTTTATATAATAGTATATAAGATAATGGTATAAGATATAAGATTTGAATAAAAAAAAACAAAGTAAAATGTTTGACTTCAGCTCCTTTCAACGCTCATAACTCAGTCCAGACTGAGATTTCCATACATGAGCCCTATGGGCTCACTTTCATATATGTATATGGGGACAATTTCGTTTGTGATATCATTCCAGACAATATCTTCCATAAATCATCGACTGACGCCAGAAAAAAGAAAGGCACCAAATTTAGTCAATGCCCAAATGAGAACCGATAGCAAACCAAGGGCCCCTAGACAGAATTTGCTACAGGCCCCGCGCTGGCTTAATCCGGCACTGGTTAAGTATTCCTGTAAAAATAACGTGACGGACGTATTGCCTGCCATTTGTCAAAAACTTCTTCGTTTAGTATTCTGCGGTAAGCTTCCATACAAATAAACTTACCTTTTTGAGATGATTTTTGTTCACATCGAAATACTTGCACGATTCACTAATATGGATGTGGGAAAATGTGACTCCACTCTCAGTGTCAAACGAGGAATGAAGTTAATTGCTCGACATGTCATTTATGTAATTATGTTTTACAATGCTTGAAGTGTGGAGCTATCAGACGACATAATACGGAGTAATTCTCAGAACAATCACATCTCTTTAACGTCCGAGAACATTTTTTTGGAGTACCACAAGGTATCTTTCTTGGACCTTCCTTGTTTTTAGTGAATAAAGAACTTAGACAAAATAATTATTTAAAATATTTTATTGTTCTAGTTTTACATTAAGTAGGTATGTTGTACAAAATAATTATGCTTACATCTAAAATAACAACTTAAAAGACTAAACGGTTAAAGCAATGGCTTCGCCTTGGCCTAATTACATCATTAGTAGAATTATTCATATTATAGTCTTCAATACAATAAAACTAGGTGCAAAATCTAGAATTAGCATTGGCTTACATACAAGTGATTTTACGTTTAGTTTTATAATAGATCCCTAAACTTGGACGTTAATGTCTTAGATTTATAAATGCAGAAACTTATAAGTATGAATTAGTATTGAGTTTAATTGTTCATGACGTTTAAAATACACATGGAGAACATAAACACCGTAAGGTTAAAACTTAAATGAAAATTTTAAATGTAGGAATTAGTGCCAAAGTACTTTGTTAGCCAAATTACTGTACCTATACAGTTAATTGTTAAATTATGTAACATGTGTTTGTTGAACAGACCATAAATCATTGAGTGAATTATTACTTAGCTGTAAGTAAATGCAGTAGACGTAAATCTAGATAATAATTTAAATTCGTGATGCAGTCTTAATACCATATCTAAGCACCTATATTACCTAACACTAGATTGCGGAAGCTGGCCCATTTATATACAATGCAGTTTACAAGATAACACTACTCGTACACTGGGATATGTTAAGGGTACTCACTGCTATAACTATAGCCTCCAAACTATTATTTGTTATACACAAATCAGGAATCGAGAACTCTACCATGGATATTTATCTCATTTTAAACTTACCTGTGGTTCTCACAGTCATTATGCAATAATTGTGGGTGTTAATGATAATCGAGTTACTTGAAATACAGGTAAGTACCCATGGTAGCGGCCTCAGATGGATTTACAATTGACTCTGCGTCCAGAAAATTCATCAGTATGTTTTCAGTTTCCAGACACTCAATAATCGCACGTTTTGTGAAACCAATACAATGCAGTGTCGTCTAAATGTAACGTCACATAGTGCACATTCGATGATTGAGCACCTCAACCAACTATGTCGAGTGACTAAGATGTATACAATATGTTTGAACTAGTTGTCTTCTTAGCGGAATGACTCAATATGGAAAGTATTGTCAATGCTGAAACGATAGCTTCAAAGGGTATTGATGAACCTAATTTAGACGCAAATCGAATCAGCATCGAAAGTAAGACTGCAGAGCTTAGCTCTATTTTATCTTAAAAACTATAAGTTAAAAATAATTTAAATCCTTCCATACTCGAACAAATCAATTAATTCAAATAATTACATATGATTAAAATTTTGATTACATCGTCAATAATGACAGATAATTTGAAGAAGGATAAAATAAATAAGTTTTTGATCCGATATTTTGGTCGGCGATGGACTCTGAGACTTACTCAATTGATTGTATAGGCATGTATTCACTTTTATATCTACCGGCGACGTACAGGTAATCCGATTAAGGCAGTAATTTATGATACTCGGCAGATTTCTTATTCTTCTCGATTATGTAGAAGGATTTAGGTTTGCCATTGCCGGAGAAATATTTTCTGAAAGAGGTTTTCTTTGCTGGCACATAATACGCTAAGGCGTCAAGCGAGTTCGGATGACTAATAGCTTTGGGCCATGTTGGCGTGCTCTCGACGTCCACTATATCATCGTCAAACCTCGCCTGTGGTCGGTTTTTCGCGAACTTCTGTAGCACTGGAATGTTCCAATGATAGACGCGAGCAGGTTTGCCATTACTGGTCATTTGTAGTGGCAGGGTCCTTGCGGCGGCTGGCGCTGGCTCCGCGTGGCTGTAGTAGCTCGTGTTCGGAGGCAGTTTGATGACGTACATCCTTGAGTCGCCAGTAGCGTGCCTTCTTCCTTGTTCAGCGAGCCGTTTCCTGTGGTGAGCTGCAGGTATCCTCAGCTTTTTCAAGCCGAGTGAACTGAGCAGCTCATGTGTTGAGGGCTCCGTCTTGTCCACATTGTTGTCTGAGCTGACGCTGGAAGCTGGTGACGGCGCGGCGAAGGTAGCTGCCACAGAAAGCAGTAGCACTAGTGATCTGTAACAAGACGAAACATAACGTTAATTTCTATTTCGATATGAATAATATATTAGAATAATGAAAGTCGAAGAGTTCATCTACATTTTTTTTTAAATCTCTTAAAAATCGAAAAACTTTCAATTTAATCGAAGAAGGTTATGTAGACGAATATAATCAATCATTAAGAACCTAATATTATTGATTCAGTGATTCTAGGGAAGTACAGTGAAATTGCTTATGATTTATCTGCAGATTTCCACGTCACTTCTACGACAACAGCATAATAAATACAAAGAGACCTCAACCAGGTACTTGAAACGTAACAAAAACCGAACATAAATTCCTTATGACTTATTAAGTGTTTTACGACAAAATAGATTATTCTCCATTTATGACGTCGCCTGTTGCTTACAAACATTCCGCTGGTTCTTGCGACAAAAGCGTGCGGTGACTTGAAATTGTTTGTGCACTTTAGATGGAACCTCTCTAGTTAAATAAAGCCGAGATGGCTCGGGTGTGCTTGTCTTACTCTTGGTTGATATTTCAAAAGCAATTAGCATAGGTATTGTAAGCGCTGTACACACTGAGAGAGCTTTTATAACAAGCTAGTAACTGCGCACGCGCAGGTGAGAAAACTTTACTTCGTGCGCAAAATTGTTAGCCATTTCCCATTTAATGGCCGCTCGCAGTCAAATGAAAAGCATTACAATGTTAATGATTGTTTAAGGACGCTGTGAATTGAATCGTGTGGCAAAATTGATGCTGCTTTGTAATAAATATTTACTACAGTATATACATAATGTTACATTTTCAATCACCAATAAGTAAGTATACGTAGGGTACCATTTCATTAGGAGTAGTTTTACCAGTACAAAGTCGTAATGTATCGTATACAACAATCGGACATTCCAGGCCAAAAAAAACGAATGTAATAGTAACCATAAAGTACTATTTACCTAATTTAATAGCAATAACATTTAGCTAGCTTATTTTAACAGTAAAAAGTTAATAGTATTTTGAAGGGAACTTTGCAATGAGTACTGAATGAATGAATGAATATATATAAAACTTTTCAATAACCAATAGTAGTCAATACGAATGTTCATGAATCTATATGCCTATAAGGAGTGCAATTTTCTATAAAAGATGAATAAACGGAAAACCAATGTGTGTTGTGTTCCCTGTTAGGTCATTTAATAACACCCGCCATATTCCCACGTTATGCTAATGTCATTTACTTTAACGCGGATTTTATTTAAAGAAGCCCTTTATGTAGGCAGTTTTAAAATAATCTAGTGCATATTGTATTCTTGATAAACAATCATATTGTTGGAGGAGACACCGTGTGTCTTTGATAAGATACACATTTCATCACAAATACATTATATTGAATGGTATAAGTATAAATAGAAACTGGCGAAACTTTAATGTTTTAAGGAAAACGAAAGATGGTAAACGAGAACACGTATCGCCTGATGGTAAATGCCGCTAAGGGACACCCACAACACCAAACTCATTCCAAGATGAAGTACCAGCCTTTTATTACAGAGTTTACTCTTTTCTTCAAACTTTACTTTTATTTTACTTTACCGCACCATCGCTTACCACCTGGCGAGACACTGTCTAAACGTAATTGCATCAAATAAAGTTAAAAAAAATTAACACATGCCATATACAATTCTTAAAGGTCTTTTAAATTATTTCACTAATCACGACTGAAATTATTATTAGATAGTATATTATTATAAATGGATGTTTAAAACTACGTCCATTGGGCCACGACCCTTACCGAGCCCATACATTCACGTCCTGTTTGTCATAACTGAATAGTGAATAACTTAGTGACTGTAGTCGTAGTCGGCTGCATTAGCAACGTGTTTGTTTCTTGGAACCGTTCCTACATTGTGTCCGAGATACGAACCTATGTGGGTTTATGAGTATAACCACACATTCATACAACAATCTTTATGCTAAATACCTTTGATTTTACTAACAGTTTACTACTATTGTTGGTTCATTTTCTTCCGATGTTCAAAAAGTTTCTTCTACCACAAGAAATGGCTAGCTAAATTAGTTTTAGTATGGTTTTCTAAATATATATGTACCTGACAAAAATAGCATGACCTGTAGTGGCTGTAGTGGTTTTGGTGTATGGTTCTATTAGGGTAGTAGTTTATAATATTAATCATTAATCCTATGGACGTCTTCCTCGATAATTGTACATCTGTTTATCAATCCATCCCCTCAATAATTTATTATATAGTCTATAGAGCAGCAGATTGCCATATTATGTATACAATAGATCACAAAAATACAAAACATCATGGGATCCATTAAGAAATTCCTCCCACTATGTCTATTTATCCATCTCTGAATGAGACAGCTACCGGCTAACCCAGTGCTCTATTTGGCTCCGATCCATTGCGTTTGCGCATCCGACCATTGGACCACTTACAAAACGTGATCTGACTGGCGTTTGGATAACTGTGCAATAACTAACTGTTTATGTTTATTTACTTATTGATATCTCAATTACATTGTGGTATGTTTGGTTCTAATTGGCTGCGGGCTTTAAATATTTTCGCTTGTAAGAGAAGTGACACTCTATAGGCTACACTTTTTGACCCATGTGTCATTAAGAACGAAGCAGACGTACTGTAGCAGAGGACTGAGTACGAGTTTGTTTTACGTTAAAAGTAATCGACTATTAGACTGCGCTCTGATTGGTTGGTTCATTGAAACCGGCCAATCAAAGCCTCCGCCAAACGCGTTACACAAAATAGTACTAAGGCCTCTGTACAGTGGTACAGGCTATACTTTTTGACCCATTTGTTACGAAAAATGCTGATTTTTTTTTAAATTTTATCGGTCGTTGAAGCTCCGGTCCGAAGAACGGTCCTCCAGTTGGCCACGCTTCCTTCTTCATAACAAGTCTATAAGAGATATTCAAACCATAACCATCTACTGTTCACGACCTAATAACGCAGAGGTCATCTAAGTATCGTTTCCTAACCAATGATGGTAATACCGGTCCCGTATTACTAGGTAATCCGCCATGATTGTGAAGCGTAGGCACAAATAACAAGGCGAGCCATGTAATTCTCGCATCGCGCCGTAACGCGGCAAAACTGTTCATAATCAATGTTTGTGTGTAATACGTAGTGTGATACAGACATTATGCGGTTCACTTAACAAATGTTGTGTGATGTCATAATATGGGTTAGATACTAGCTTTTACCCCCGACTTCGTAGGCGCAATAAGTAGGTTACTGTTTTTTTTTGTTCTCGTGGAAATTTCGTCTTTCTCAGTGCTTCCCTTCTTCCTTAACAAGAACGTCAGATGCATTTTGTCGTCAATGCAAATAAACTATATTATTTAATATAGAAATTGTACCAACACTTTTAATGGGCCCAATTTTAGCCGGACTGGTTGAAAGTTATTCACAGTTTTTTATCCGTGAGCGTTGAACATAATTTAAGAGAAATTGCACATAAAGATATCAGCAGTTCTGTAAAATCTCAAGTAATTTCTACATTCGTAAAATTGATTATTTCCTTTCATTTACGCATTATCTTCTTTGCGCAGACGCAGACTGAGGCTCATAAACGTCAAACACGTAATGACATCGCGCATGCGTCTCGCGTGACGGATACTATTGCATTGCAAGTATACCTCTATAATTAAATTAGAGCTAATAAAATGGCGCGTTTTTGTTGCACACCAGGTATCCATTATTCTAATATTTTGTTGCTCGCCAACAAAAATAAGAAAGGTCAGAGGATAAGGTGAATTATCTACTACGTGTAATATAGCGATTAAGTTTATAAAGCAAAGCATCTACATCTGAATTTTCCATTTTATTATCCATGCCCACATACTGAGAATTGCCCGGATACCTAATACCTGCACACGCATACACACACATGCGTATGCGTCCATTGTTTCCTCCCTATAAAGCTTTCAACATTAAGAAAAAAAAAACAATGCCAGTAATAATTTCTAAGTAAAATCTTTTTGCGACAAAAATGACGCGGTTGTCGCTGGTTGTAAAGGCTAGTCCACACTGGTTCGTACAGTAGCGCGCTCGATAACGATCGATGGACGTCCAATATGAATACATTAAAGATGAACTCATTTGCAATAAAGTTAAGATTACCTACACGCTTTTACAAACTATGCAAATCTATGTTGTTACTGAAGTAAACAACTTTCATGCGAGAGCTATATAAAACCAGCTCAGTGGTTAATTGGTAACGTTCATAGATGCAACAGAACTAACCTACTGTGTGTATAAAGTGCCTTCTTCCTTAAAATAGGCATCAGAAAGATCAATTCGCACGTAGCGAATGACATAAAACTTAATTACCTAGCAATAACTGAACAATAGCACAAAATATTTAGGTCTATCATCTGTGTTTACGATCTAAACGTGCAGCGTAAAGTCCCGTTCAGACAATCGTTCCCACCATAAGTCAGGTTGGTATCGGTGTTCCCGTAGCTGCCTGGGGGCTATCGGCAGCGCGTGTGGGCGGACCCTAACACCGCTGACCGCTTGACCTCGACTCCCGGGTCGGCTCGAGGTCAACGCACTGCGATAGCCGCCTGCGCAATGCATTGTCGCCTGCACTTCGGTAAGCTTGACGGAATGCCATAATAGAAGCTTAAGCTTTGAAATATGGATCGGTTTGCTAATGTAACACTGCCTTTAGATCTCAATGTTTCATTCAATCGCTGTTGCATATATTACATATCACTCATTCATTTAGTTACTTAGTTATCTCAAGTACCATGTTAGTACCCAATTCCCAATTTATTGATTTGGTTTAATCTATTAAAGCAATTTGTGTCCCATTAATTGTATTATTGTTTTAATTACTTTGAACCGCATTTGCTAAGCGGCATGGAATTAGTTACTATTGAAGAAATAAAGCTAAAATCTCATCAATATAGGTTCAATAGTTAGAAGACAGATAAAAGTTCCACAACGCTATATTTTCACATAATTATAATTATATTA